TTCATATACTTTGACCTGTGCTTTTAGCAGCATCATCTATGATCCTGTTTTTCAGATTGATTCCCAGCTTGACTTCTCCTGCTATGTCGTCTACCAGCCATGATGGGTTGAAGTAACATGACCGGCATGATACCTGTCTGGCTCAATAGATTCCTTTTCCACAATGACCTTCTGGTTCCACATATGTTGTGCCTCGAACTTGAACGTAATGCCCTCTATTCCTTCGACCATTACTAACACTTCTTCTCCTAGCAAGGTCTCTTACCACTATTATGATAGCGCATTAATTATAATTGTCATGTAACGTTAAAGATTGACAAACAATTCACAATACTAGATTGTGGTCCTAACCTATGTTATAGTAAAACATTTGTGTAGTTGAATCTGGAATTTTCTCATAATTGTGGTCTCCTTTGATAGCCATGTGTCCATATCCCCAATAGAAAAGTTAAATTGATCACATATGGAGCACCTTTTTTTAATTTCTTAGCAAAACAATTCAAGATAAATAATCAATATATGATAGCAATTATATAAAAGAAAGTTTCAGAACTGGAAAAATCGAATGATATTCTAACAATAATTAAGAAACAAAACAGGTTGAGAAAGATAATGATTTCTAAATGCCGGCAGACATTGAAAAAAGAAAGAGGAAAGGAATCTAGAAAATGAATAAGAAAGTGTAATATGCGAAGGGTTGCAGTGGAAAACTAGGAATCTATCCACTGATCTTAATCAGAGGTCACGATCGAAAACTGAAAACTTTTTGATAAGGAGTGTTTTACCCTCATAAAAAATCTTTCCAGCACCATTCTATATTAGTCGGATCAATGAATTCCAAATATCGAACGGTTAAAATCCAAAATAGATTAATAAGCTGGTGCGCTAGGATCTGAATTTGAATTTGTTTTTGGAAAAAATAGAGCAATTAATCCACGTTGAATCTCGATCAAAAATTAACTCAAGAGGTGATCTTTTTTTCCCCCTAGATCCACCAAACATATCTTATAACAGTGAAAGAACGATTTTATTTCATCCATTATGTAGTTAATCTTGAATTCTTAACTAATTTTGCATTGAAATATATTTTCATGCACGTTTATACGTTCAATTCTAGAACCTTAGTGTAAAGGGAATATTGAAGTTGTCTCTTTCTCCCAAGTTTGATTTGCAAGGTCATCAGCCTAGCTAGTCCTACTATATAACTTGCGACCTTGTAGCTCAATTAACCATTCATCTAATCTCTTAAACTAAAATTAGACGGTATATATATATATATATATATATATATATATATATATATATATATATATATATATATATATATATATTATAATAATTTTATGTATATCAGCTTAAAAAAGTAAACAATAAATTTAACTGGCTATTTGTATAACAAGCCTACTTTAAGTTGGTTTTTCTAAAATAAATTTAGAAACTCCGAGTGACTCCACATGAAGCTTTGCAAATTCTAATTGTCTTTCTCGCTCGAGGCCATTCTTTGTTCGTACGTGCACAATGTAAGAAAATAAATTGACTGGTGATTTTTTATTTTTTTCGGCTTTCTTTAATTAATTATTAAGCTTCTCAATTTTTGACTTCCCTGTTTCTCTATGTTTTTTTTATCATTTACATTCTCCCTAACCTCATGCTTAAAACGCAACATTGAGATTTAAATAATTAGCATGGAAAACTCAATATATATCAAGCATGTTATGTACTATAAACTCCACAATACGTCATTTATTACTCATGAAAATGTGATAATACAACGAAAAGAAGGCATGCAACTAGGCTTCCTTCTAACCAATAAGAATACAATATATCTTCCTTTGAAAATATAAGCAAACTATAAGCATACAGAACACCAAATTAAAACACACTGAAAAATAAATATATGAATTGGAAGTTATTGGCTAGCTAGGTTATGCGCATTGGAAATCCTTAGGAACATATTTTCCACAGTTGTTGAGCAACAAACTGAGGGAAAGAGGTACGTTGAGGTTAATTCCCAATAAATTGGCTTTAATTGCAGTGCAAAGGCAAACAGCAGCATCAAGATCAGCAAGTCCATGAATTAGAGAACAACATGGAGTTTTGGCTGGATCACTTCCAACAACAAGGTGCACTAAGTCATTCAATAAGTTAGCACACACTTTTAGCTTAAGTGTGTCCTTTGGGCACTTACCCTTTGATGATGGGGTTGATGGGGTGGATGGGGTAGATGGGGTAGAGGGGGTAGGGGTAGGCTTAGGGTGGGGTTTGGAATGACCCTTTGATGGGGTGGGTGGGCATGGGACATTAGTGGAACTAACCATAGTGAAGAAAAGAATGTTCAAAGTGAGAAGAAGGGCAATGGAGGATATAGCAAACTTAGCCATTTCTAAGAGTTAAGTAATTAGCACTCTCAACAATCGAATGTGGCTAATTAGTGAAATGCTGTTTGCTTGGTGTTTGAAATGAATGAAATGAGTGGGTATTTATAGATGGAAATGCTTGATATATTTTGCAATTTTTGACAATTTTCTTAAACTAATAGAGAAATTTGAGTGGCCCATGGTATTGTGGTACGAATATAAAGAATATCAAGACACTCTGGCTACAAAACTTGAGATAATACTATTATGGATTTTAAACTTTGGAATTTTATGAATTTCTTTAATTTTTATTATTTCTTCCTTGAAGACAACAAATTTATCCTTCCATTTTCACATGGGACTTACATTATTCTCCTTAATTATTTGAAGATGCTGGACCTGAGCCAAGATCTGAATCCATCAAGATTAATGAATATGTTTACATTGGAAACAAACTAGTAACATTGTACTCTCTTTATTTTAGTATACTATATATCGTAGGTAATCCCAGAGACCCCACTTTGTGAGATTTTATTGGATAGTTATTGTTGTTGTATATATCGTAGGGTAAATATAACAAAAGAAGACATGGCAAAGTACTTGGACTAGAGCTGTACAATACCAAGGTTTCTATCTTTTATAATATTCTTGACATTTATAGGCTATTGTTTTTGCTTTCTATTATTGCAATAAATAAAAAGTAAAATCCTATATCATATCTATAACTATCAAGGGATATGGTGAAATGGTTGGGATCTCTCCATCCTTACGTATATTTACGCACCTTAGTAGGCCTACTAGGCTAGATTCATATTAGTCGAGTTAGTGAATTTCAAGTAGTGAATGATTAAACCAAAAACTGACACGGTACTCATTCTAAAACTTGAGGATTTTAATTGAGATAAAAACTCCTTTCTCATTCTTTGGTGACGACTCATCATTAGAAAAAAAAGAAGGAAAAAACATTATGATTGAAGATCTAAATTGTAATTATATGTTTATAACTCCTACCCATTCTTTAGTGACGATTCGTCATAAGAAAGAAGAAGAAAGTAAACATTATCGTAATTGAGATAAAAATTAAACGAGCTTCTTCCCATTCTTAATTTGGTTAGATTCGTCATTAGAAAGAAGAAGAAAAAAGTGTTTTGATGCGTATAAATTTATAATCTTACCATGTATAGCTAATTGTTGACCATAATGCTTCTAAATATAGTGTGATATATTAATTATAGAAAACTACCTAACACTAAACATAAAGTAATAGCTCCAAGCACACAGGGCTAATATTCCGTAAAGACAGAATGACACGCGATTGCTAAGTGATATCACGGATTAATAATATGCTAATTGATTAATCAAGCATAACAACACGTTAATTAGAAAAAGAACAATTTGAGATCGTCGGCCATGTGACTTTTTTTTTAGTTCAACCAAAAAGATAATTATTTTGAGACTACCACTTGCATTACAAGAAATAATCTTTTGTGATAATTGAACCAATATCTATTATTTGAGACCGTCGTTGTACGACTAAATTATAATATTTGGTCGTTCCTCATGTAATTATGTCCGCATATCCTCCTTAGTAAAAATGTTAATTCTTATTTTCCTTCCCAAAGTATAGCTTTCAACAAATTGTGGTACTTTGCTTTATACTGTTATTATTAAGAGGCGAATTTGAGGCACCGTTACATTCAATATAAATTTATCAGTGTTCATTAAAATTGGTGTGGGAACTTCTAATTATTTTTTGAAAATATTTGCAAGTATATATAACAAATTTTTGCCGAAGTATCTAATTCTAGATTCCGCTGGCATAGACGAGATATTTGTATTCTTCCCATGGTGTTTCCTTTTCTTCCCCTAAGCCTAAAGAGTACTCCCCATGTCTTATATTATGTGTTATATTTTTTTTTAATACGCCCCTTAAGAAATAGTAAGTAGGAAAGGCATTGGACTATTTTATCCTTATTTATGTCTTAAGATATAATCTTGGGAAAATGCATAAATACTCCCTTGACCTATACCCGGATTTCCAACTACACACTTTTTCTTTGCGAGAATCCTATTACCCCCCTAAACTTATTTTAAATGGGATTATTTGCACCCTTAACGCTGACGTGGCAGAGTGTGTGTATTTCACTCTCCCAAAGGAGAGTGAGAAGCAAGAGAAAACGATTTTCAGATTATTTTTATTCTTTTTTACCATTTTTTCTTACTTTTTTTTTCCTTTTCCTTTTCCTTTTCCTTTTCCTTTGTCTTTTTTCTTTTACTTTTTTTTCGTTTCTTCTTCTTTAATTCCGGCGGATATTCATTCACCGGCGACTTTGTCTGACCATTTTTCTTCCATTTTTTCTTTTCACACACAAACTAAACTCTCAAACAGATCTATTCATAAGCAAAGCAAAATACACTCAGATTTGGGGAAAAAAATTCATCATCGGAAAACCTTCCCACGCCGGAAAAAAAATAATGTATTGAAATTTTAACTGGAAAAAGTTTTTTCTCAGCTTATATTCGTTTTTATTTCTTTTGCTCTTCCTCTCACACATAAATTACACTTTCAAGTAATATA